CCGAAGCCGTAACAGCTAGCGGAAAACTGCGGCTTCGCAAAGCCGGAACCGAAGCCGAGGTCCGCTTCATCTCGCTATCTGGCTGGGAGGCCAGAAGGAAATATCAGGCGCCGCAGACGTAGCACCTCAATGTACTTCTCGCGATTTCAGCACTGCACCGTGTTTGCATGCCCTGTTAGTGGCATGTTCGACGGGGGGGGGGGGGGGAGACCGGGTGTAAGCGCCCATTCTTTGTTGTGTATGGTTACAAACGTTTTGCACTCCCACCGTGATATCTTGCGTACGCCCCTGAGTGCTGTATCACATATGGCGTAAGGCATGACAATATCCTAACCATCACTAAGTTGAAAAATAATGCTTAAATAGCCTAAACCAAAAGAAAACCGCAAGTTCACTTATTCTGTTGAAACGTTACCGGGACCACGTGAGGTCGCGACATAAATATTCATCTGCGATACATCACTTATTGAAAACGCTTGTACGTTATACTGAAACGGCAAGGCAAGCGCATGTCCGACATTTGTACGCCACGGCACGGCACAGCACGGCATCACGGCAGGGCAAATTGATTCGTGATTGCCTGGCATTCCAACAGCCAAGCATACCATTTTAATGTGGATGCTTGAAATACGCTTTGAATAGCTGTCTTCAGCTCGAAATACATGTTTCAGTGTATTAGCAGGGACCTAACACACAAGCTGCAATGCTTTCGACACATGTCCTAACATAGCGGATTCACGGCACGTAATCCTCCATGTGGCCACCATTCTGAACAGAACTTCAAGCGAAAACACGAACAATGCATTCATGAGCCACACGTAATAAAACCCAAGCGCAAAGAAACTGTCAACACCAGCTGGGACCTCCGCCAAGTGGTGCCGAAATGTCCGAACTAGATGTCATATCTCGTGCGACGAAGCTTCCAGAGGTTTCTGGGTTCGGAGCCATGACAAAAGGATCCGGAGCGCTGTATGGATGCCACCATCGGTGATGAAACAGGCCTTGATGGCCAGTTGACTCAATGAGCGTCGTGTCATTGGCGCTGTCTCCGGGCGGGTGCTGGGGCTGGCGGCCCCAGCCCCAGCCCGTCCCGCACTGTCATGGACAGAAGCATACCACACACCGCCTTACAAGGCCCGACCATGGGCCCACCGCCGTACAAGGCGTGGGGTCGCAGAAGAGCATGGTGACAGGAGACTACCGACTCGCCCGACGGACTAGGGACCAGGCCTGGCCGAGGGTGGTAGAACGCGTTGCGAGACTCTCGCACACGGCACGGCGTGCAGCGCGAATCGGTATTTTAACCGGCTGAAAATAGTTTCCGCCACGTCATGGCTTTGCCGGTTTAACACGCGGCCGGGTGGCCGGCTAGATATCCTTCGATCGGGTGGGGGTCAATTTGACCCCCATCAGATCTCGGAACCTAAGAAAGCTGAAGACACCAAATTTGCAGGGTGTGTTGACCTGTACATGAACTCACTTAGGTCAACGTTTGAGGTCACTAAGTCATGACTTTCGAGCCAAATAAGGTCAAACAAGGTCAAATTTCAGGTTGGTCTCCAGTGTCCCCATAACCTAGATAACTGTTTCTAAGAAAAAGTTCACAAGCTCATTTAAGGTCAGTGACCTTGCTTGACCTTTTGAAGGTCACGGTGACCAAAATCATACAAGACTGCCCTGAATTTTGCATTTGGGACATAAGCGATAGGGACAAAGGACAAAGCATAAGGGACAAAGATTACGCTTGGCAGTATATTCTTTTTAAAAATGTCGACCTGGGTCACCTTAGGTCCATGACGTCTTATAAACTCTAAGAAGTCAACTGAAGATGCATGATGCGGTTCCTGCTATCAATAAATTCAAAATGAGCACCGGAAAATACCCCATACAGCAAGCCCTAGAGCAATAAAACAGGTTGGGTTCGACCTTGGTATGACCTTCATACGTGACCTTAGGTCAACTTAATTTGCTCGTTCAATGCTTGTGTTGCCTAATAAGGCATCTCAAAGATGTATGGCTTCGTCAAACACTCCGTTGTTGCATCAGATTGAACGATTCCCTAGAAATTGACTTTGCCCCAACCATCGCCTGACTGGCCTGCCATAGGTCAGTGACCTTACAAGGTACAGCTGAATGTCTTACACCAGTCGATCCGCTATTCAATTATGAACGGCTAGGAAACGTTTGACGCGGCTACGCCGCGCCGTTCGGAAACCATTCTGGAAAAACCTTCGGGGGGCAATTTGACCCCGCACCAGAGCGCGTGTTAAACCAGCTTTAACTGGCAGAAACTCAACTTTGGCCATTTAAATATTGTGACGCGATACCGTAGCCACAATGTTTTCTTTTAAGGCCAAGTATCGAAAAACAAAACAAAACAAAAACAGGTAACTGATACGACGAAATGATCCAGTGTGGTGATGCTGCTATGTTTTGAACGCCGATCAGTATCTAAGCGTGTGTTCTGGAGCTCATCAAGGCTTGTGGTATACATAAATGCTCCTCCTATAACCCGCTGTAGTGCGCTGCCACTCAGAGGCATGGGTGCATTATCGATACTTTATATATATATATATATATATATATATGGTGCGTCATTTCACGCCGTAGCCATGTCAGATTAATTCGTACCTCCGTCAAGAGATGACCGACGTCATTTATAATGAAATAAAGCCTTAATTAAAAAGCAGATGCAGTTCGTGTTTCCTTAAGGAAACATCCGTTTCAGTTCATATTTACCTAATGTGGGCTACGCGAGAGGCAAACCATATATATTTTCAGCAGGCATATCAATGAAAAACTCCACATCTTGGGACACACAGGTGTCTTTACCTCCAGTTTTTGGTCGGCAGTGCCCGCTGGCATGCTCCCGCCTGACAGCCCAATCATGGCAACAAAAGGGTGTCTGTGACAGTGGCCTGTGGTCCGGGTACCAGCCCGCAGTGGGAATTCAGCATTAACATGACGTGACCTTCACATTTCGATTGGTTCCCTAACGGAATGACTGATGCACTGTACCCTGGCTCTAACATATGATATGTACTTGTCAATCTTTTGAAAGAAATCCTGAACAGTTGGATTACTATGGGCTGAACAGTACGAGTACTGTGGTAAGGTCTGCTTGTTTACACGTGCTGACAATGTTTTCATTAAAAACGCCGTGACAACGCCACAGATGACATGTGGCACATCCATCCACAAGAAACTCAACGCACTGAATGGATGTAGCACACAGCTTCTAAGCTTGGGCACATGATATAGCACGTCGGTTATGCTTTGTGTGAGTGATACCTTACAAGTTCCTAAACCTGATGTCAAACTACTCAGAAATTTCTGGTGTTCATTTCCCGAAAAAGTTCCTGACGAGTGGGTCAGCCATTAATTCTAACTTACGCAATCATAAGCATTGAAAACTCATTGCCATGCATTGCCAAACATTAACCTCTAATGCACTTTGGCGGACCCCTTACAAAATACTTAGCCCAAGACATTCTTTTTGCAACTACCCTATCAACTCCACCGTGGAGAACCTTTCAACGTGATGAATCATGCTAATGAAGTTCACGAAGATACAGCCCCGCCAACATTAACATCGTTATAGTTTGCCCCAGTGCTTTGAAACACATTCTACTATATTTGAATTCTGCCAATTTCTGTCCGTATTCGCCACAAGTAAGCTGTGCCAGCCGGTTCTAACCGCTTAAGATCGGTCGGCAGACTCTGCTTCAGCCGGGCGTCGCCAGCCGTGCTGCAGTGTGACCGATGGTGACCGGAGGACGGAAGCCTGGGGCGGTGCTGGGTCGGGGTGGGCGGCCTCCCACACGCGCACTCTCATCAGCCGCCGTCCGACGCTACACCTGAGCTGCACGTGACAGCGTGCTCAGGTAACGGACATGGGTGGAAGAGGAGGGGGAGGGGCAGAGACCTGCTGTGTCACCGTGTGTGACACGGCAGTGTGCGGAGAGACTGATCCCGTCTCAGCTGACTACGAACAACACGTCACCGGCGGGGGCGCCATTGATAAACACGGACAATGGAGAGCCGTGACAAACAGAACGCCAACGTCAATGCTACAAGGCGACGCCAAGGAAAAGCATACAAGTCCTCTTATGACTGCGTGAGCCACCACCAAACGCGACTTCAGACCGCGCTCGTGACGAACTATGCCGCCGTGGAGTTGGCCATACCTTACCAGCATCGCCAACTCGAACTGGCTACCAAAACGCATGATGTAATGGCTAGTATGGCACGGGAAGGGGCCTGGACATGGATGCCGACAGGTCGGGTCGCAGCACACCGTTGCGGAAAACGCATTTCGGCCTCTCGGACATGCTCTCAGTCCCTCCCTCTCCGCGCTTGTCATAGTGACAGTTTGTTGGTTCCCGAAACTCAGTGGACGCCTCACTGGATCGCGAGTTCGCGGAATAGGAAGAGTCCGGAGTGACTAGCCTCGCGTGTTTACACTGGCAGACGGCGTTGTGAAGTCACGCCAAATGATAACATATTCCAGCCATGGTACCGACTACGCAGGAACCTACCTACTGAAACAGTTCGAGAGAAGCCAGCGGCTAGCCTAGCCTGGTTAGCCCCTGAGTGTGCAGCGCAGGGCTCAGAACAGTATGAGTGTCGACGCCACATAGATTTATCGAGCTGCTTACGACACTCCACCATCACGATATCGGCATTGCCGGCATAGAAATGTCGATAATCTCCAGCAGTTCCCAGCTGGACACACCCATCACGTATTCTCGCCATTCCCACGAGATTGCAGACCTATTTCACGGAATAAATTTCTGCATTTTTTTAGGCTACGATGCCTCAGATGGGGAAAGGGCACGTTGGAGCGATATCACATCAATCCCTGATTCGCTAAGTGGCTGCCTTCATTACTTCATGACGCGTATGACCGCACGCCTAGAAGCGTATAGAGAGCCACTATGAGTGGGCGAGGACGGCACTTCTACGCAGCCGGCGGGCGGCCGCCCGCGAACGGAACTGACCTGTGAACTGCGCCTCCCACTCCCTGACCGACTCCATCTGCATGGGCGTCAGGTCGCTGAGATCGTCGTGGTTATCGCCGCCCTCCACCGAGAATGTGGCCAGGCCACGCGAGGCGTCCTTGCCGGCGAACGCCGCGTACGGCCCGCCTGGCGACGAGGCAGGTGTCAGACACGGCAGGTGTCAGACACGGCAGGTGTCAGACACGGCAGGTGTCGGACACGACAGGTGTCAGACACCGCAGGTATCACACAAGGCAGGTGTCATACACGGCAGGTGTCATACACGGCAGGTGTCAGACACGACAGGTGTCGGACACTGCATGTGTCAGACACGGCCGGTGTCAGACACCGCAGGTGTCGGACGCGGCAGGCGTTAGACACGGCCGGTGTCAGACACTGCATGTGTCAGACACGGCCGGTGTCAGACACCGCAGGTGTCGGACACGGCAGGCGTTAGACACGGCCGGTGTCAGACACCGCAGGTATCAGACACGGCAGGTGTCAGACACGGCAGGTGTCGGACGCGGCAGGTGTCATACACGGCAGGTGTCAGACACGGCAGGTGTCGGACGCGGCAGGTGTCATACACGGCAGGTGTCAGACACGGCAGGTGTCGGACACGGCAGGCGTTAGACACGGCCGGTGTCAGACACCGCAGGTATCAGACACGGCAGGTGTCAGACACGGCAGGTGTCGGACGCGGCAGGTGTCATACACGGCAGGTGTCAGACACGGCAGGTGTCGGACGCGGCAGGTGTCATACACGGCAGGTGTCAGACACGGCAGGTATCAGTCCCGGCCGGTGCCAGGCACGGCAGGCGTCAGACACGGTTACAGTCCGGGCTTCGGTCGGTCCACGTGGTGACACGGCTACAGTCAGGGCTACCGGTCGGTCCATACGGTGACAAGGCTAGCCAAGGCTACCGGTGGGTCCACACGGTGACACGGCTTAAGTCAGGACTACCGGTCGGTCCACACGGTGACACGGCCAAAGACAGGACTATCGGTCGGTCCACACGGTGACAAGGCTAGCCAAGGCTACCGGCGGGTCTACACGGTGGCACGGCTAAATTCAGGGCTGCCGGTCGGTCCACACGGTGACACAGCTAAAGTCAGGACTACCGGCCGGTCCATGCGGTCAAACGGCTAAAGACAGGACTACCGGTCGATCCACACAGTGACACGGCTTAATACAGGACTACCGGTCGGTCCACACGGTGACACGGTTAAAGCCACTACCGATCGGTCCACACGGTGACACGGCTAAAGTCAGGACTACCGGCCGGTCCACGCGGTGACATGGCTAAAGACAGGACTACCGGTCGGTCCACGCGGTGACACGGCTAAAGATAGGACTACCGGTCGGTCCACACGGTGACACGGCTAAACTCAGGGTTACCGGTCCACCGGTCGGTCCACACGGTGGCACTGAGAGCCATGATTAAAATACAGCCAGTCACGCTGGTCTGGCGGTATGGCGGCGTGGTCCGCGTCAACTATAGCTACGGAATCACGACACGACGACGCACCTCACAACACGGCGGCTTCTGACTACACTCGCTCTCCTTGCGAACAGGCCACGGCCAGAGCAAGTCTGGGCTTGGCGAAACAAGGGAACGTGGGCTGACACCTGAGGGCAATACGCATCAAACTACCCATGGTTTTAACTGAAATGACAACAACATATCACGCGCACAATGGTAACACAAACATGCTCAGACACAACCAACGACACGGTCAAAATAAATAAGTATGCCCCCCCCCCCCCCCACACTACTTTTCACCGCTGACTGTCGAGGTGCCTGAGAGGGGTTGGGAGAAGCGGAACAGGAGCGTCATCGACAACTCGTCGCTGGGGCCTGACGGCGCATGCTCGCCAACACCTGTCACCACTCAAGCCCACTGCAGGCCGAGGGCCCAGTCCCGCACGGTACCACCGCGGCTATCCCGCACGGTACCATCGCGACTATCCCGCACTCACGCCCCGCACGGTACCCCGCGGCTATCCCGCACTCACGCCCCGCACGGTACCCCGCGGCTATCCCGCACTCACCCCCTGCACAGTACCCCCGCGGCTATCCCGCACTCACGCCCCGCACGGTACCACCGCGGCTACAACGCACTCGCACATTGCACGGTACCACCACGGCAATCCCGCACTTGCGCCCAGCACGGTACCACCACGGCTATTCCGCACTTGCGCCCAGCACGGTACCACCACGGCCATCCCGCACTTGCGCCCAGCACGGTACCACCGCGGCTACCCCGCGCTGACGCCCCGCACGGTACCACCACGGCTACTCCGCACTCACGCTCCGCACATTACCCCCGCGGCTATCCCACACCGTGCCCAACAATGCCAGATTACACACGACACATCCGTACCTAAAGCTCTGCCACCAGAGCCATGGAGGCGGAACAGACATCGCACGCACCACTACACCAAAGCAGCAGCTTACTTCCGATCAATCACTGACGGGTCTTTTTTGCCCAGCGAACAGAGGACCCCGCGGCAGGACTCAAATACTTTGGCCGTGTTCCGGCCAGCCATTTCCAATGTTATCTCACATAGCAGGGCTGAACCCACCGATACGTGTGCGGTCGGAACAGTGCTCCCAGCTCCACTGCTTCATTGTGCGCTCGGCTCCAACAGCGGAAACAGTCCGCAATCAAATGCCACCTGTGCCTGTCGAGTTCCACTGATTCAAAGCTCCGACTTCGATAAAACGCGGCGCAAGCCACTGATTTCCTCTGCATTCAAGCCAAGGTCAGAAACAACAGCGCAGTTAGCCGGATCGGTTCACACTGCCGCGCGGCGCTCGGCGGTACCCCCCCCCCCCCCCCCCCCGTGGCGCGGCCTCTCGCTGTAGATGAATCAGCAGGGCTGCGATTTGCCACGTTTGCTGCCTCAGGTATCCCACGCGCGCCGGCCGGGCCGCCCACCCCGTCACCCCACTCGCACTGGCCGGACCGGCCATATCCGAACCCCACACATCCCGACAGAACCGGGCCCCCCACGCCGTCACCCCACGCACCCCGACCGAACCGGGCGGCCCAGCCCGCCATCCCGCGCGCGCTGGCCGAACCGGGCCGCCCAGCCCGCCACCCCGCGCGCCGGCCGGCCGCTCGCCCGGGTCGCCTGCCCCCCAGGCTCGGACCGAGCGCGTCAACAGGCCGGATTGACAGCCCGACACGCCATGCTGACGAGAGGACAGCCGCGCCGACTCGGTGCCTGGCGGAGCGGGCCGGGCACGACACGGAAATGCAACATCGGGCCGCGCCATGCCTCCCCGCCAGGTCAGACGCCCGTCAGCACACCCGGGCTCCTGCAAACGACCCATGCGCTTATCCTGTGACAGACTGGGTATGTGCCGTGTCACCTGGCACGACGCCACACGCGGTCCATAAGCCAGTCAGGGGCCTGGCCGCCTAACTGGAATCTTATTCACGACGTAATCAAGCCTCACCGGGTCCGTAGAACCTCTTTCCCTTGGTGACGTCGAAGACTTTGTAATTGACGGCCACCAGGACCCTGCCGTCACAGCGCTCGTCGCCGCAGTAGAATTTGAGCTGCTCCAGCGTGAAGTCCTGCTTCTTCAGAGGAGGGAGCTCGGGCTCCCGGGGCGGCGGCGGCGCGTTCTCCTCTTTGTGCCTCACCCACATTTTGTACATGATGTAAAGGCACGCGGAGATGAGCAGGAGGTTTACGGGACTCTTGAACTCATCCAACAACGCGTTCCACATTCCACCGCCTTCCGACGACATTTTGAGTTGCCTGGGCTGTACTAATCCAGATCACTTGTCACGAGGTCTCTGAAATGGAGGAAAAGATGGTAGCGGCGAAGGTGACAATGATCAATAACGGGTTAATGCACAAACATCTCACCATGCGCGCAGTTCGCACCATAAAAGGCGTACCATTCAGCTATGTCCCCCGACCGGCAAAACATAGGGTGTCTGTTTGTAAAGCGCGAATCAACATCCTGACTCTTTCCATGGTAAGCCATCCTGGTTCCTCTGCCGATCCAGCGTTGACTCTCGAATAAGGGCGTCCCGCAATATCAAGACTCTCGACTGCGTCCCGCACCGGAGCCTGCTGTGATGAACCCCGACTATGATGGCCAGAGTTTATCATGGAGCATATCGCTCACGGAGCTACACCAGCTTATGTCCGTCCCGTCCACGGCACTACACCAGCTAATGCTTGTCCTTCCAAGGCGCAGCAGCAGCTACAGCACGTCCCGCCCACGGAGCTACACCAGCTGTCCCGTTCGCAGCGCTACAGCAGCTAACGCGCGTCCTGTCCACGGCTCTACACCAATTACTGTACGTCCCGTCCGCGGCGCTACAGCAGCTGCTGCCCGTCCCGTTCGCAGCGCTACAGCAGCTGCTGCCCATCCCGTCCACGGCTCTACACCAGTTACTGTACGTCCCGTTCGCAGCGCTCCAGCAGCTGCCGCCCGTCCCGTCCACGGCTCTACACCAGTTACTGTACGTCCCATCCGCGGCGCTACAGCAGCTGCTGCCCGTCCCGTTCGCAGCGCTACAGCAGCTGCTGCCTGTCCCGTCCACGGCTCTACACCAGTTACTGTACGTCCCGTTCGCAGCGCTACAGCAGCTGCTGCCCGTCCCGTCCACGGCTCTACACTAGTTACTGTACGTCCCGTTCGCAGCGCTCCAGCAGCTGCTGCCCGTCCCGTCCACGGCTCTACACCAGTTACTGTACGTCCCGTCCGCGGCGCTACAGCGGACTAAGCCCGTCCCGTCCACGGCGTCACAGCAGGCAACGCCCGTTCTGTCCTCCATTGGGTAGAGCGCCTGCATTCCAATCCGCCCACCCGTGGCGGAATGGGGTTCGAGTCGCTTTAATTGCGTTCACTTTTTGCCCCTGAAAATATGGTCAGCAGCCGGTGGCAGCGGCTGCGCTAAAGGTCAAACGACGTCCGAGTGCAGGGCGGACTAAGCCGGAAAGTGCAGCACGTTAAACTTTCGTCGCCGAATCTGGCATTGACTCGGTATTACCCGATCGGATGGTACGGGTCAGGGCTCGGACAACAAGCCAGGCTTAGCGTGAGCTCTGATCCTCGAAATCCATTCACTCAAAAGGCTTGGAGTAGATCGCTAAAAAATGCCATGGCATGTTTCGTTTGGCGTCATCCTGAACATACGACAAAGCCGTTATTTGCATTATGCGCAGGACAAACGGTCCAGAATCCGGGCATTTGGGCCAGGTCATCTGCTGCGGCCGGGTCACATGTTGCACGCGCTTAGGGCATTGGGCAGAACGACTGCTGGCAGGTGTCCAGCGCGATCCATTACGGAAACGTTCTGGGTCCAACTCTGTCAACTTGTTTACCCACAACATTTCAAAGCGTGTTTTCTATGTAGTCTTGTATTTGGCTATGACAGATGGAGATACAAGACGTCTCGATGTCAGGCGCCGAAAGGCGGGCTTTTGGAACCAATTGTTGGTGTCACCAACGGGGCATAATGGAAAGCAGCAATTCGGATGGAGCAATAATTTGAGTTATTAGTTAGGGTTTCTCTGCACGGAGAGGAAAAGGGGCGGAGAGGGAGGGTGAATTCCAGGCCCATTACTCACAATTCACCACACAAGCAGATAGTTCACGTCAAACAGCATTTTTTCATCAGCCGTCGAGCCATAACGGGTCACATGGTGTGCTTGGATCACATGTGCAATATCCTCCACCGGTACAACGGCATCGCGCTAACACCAGCACAATAACCATTTGCTGGCAGAACGCGCAAAAGAAGGGCTCGTACCGGGCCTGATACTGGAGTTGTAGGCAGTCAACACCGGTCTATATTTCCCAGTACTGCCGCAGCCTCGGCACCACCATCCAAAGCAGACCTCCAATATGGCCGGCGCTGCATCAGCACCAGGGACAGTACCACGGCACCCCAATCTTGCAGCTCCGGTGGACGTGTTTTCTGGCACTACGACCACCCACGTCACGCGGACCGTCAGGTCGGCTGCCAGCTGGCCTCTCTCTCCATTGGTCGGGTCAAACAAGGCGCAGCTTCCGGGATTCGGGCCCAGTGCCGCGGGAATACCAGGTCAGCGTCTCGTCCCCGTAGCGGTCAAGTTCGCCCCAATACTGGTCCGCGCGGTACCAGGAACTCCATTCCGGGATCACGTGCCGGCGGTGATAGGCATTTTGCACGCCGTTTGTTTGTTCCAATCAATTGCCTTGTCTTGATGTGACGCCTCAACGCCGGAATGCACCACATAATAGGAAGGCCGTTTTACACCGTACGCCAAAATATCGTTAACATTGGACCAATACGGAGTCAAAACATGCTGCAAATAAGATCAACACTGGGCCAGACACTGTGCATGCAAACTGTGGCAGGCAACTGGAGAGGAAATGGTTGGAGCAGGATCAATTATATTCCGAATGGGTCGGCACCTCGTCTATTTTCGGGTAGCTTTACTGAACCTCTCCCACCAGTGTGCATGGAATGTCTCCAAATGAAATGAGCCCATGCGACCTTGAGATATTTTTCAAACTTTTGTCAGCTTCCAAGCAGCCCAAAAATGTGACCCTAACCCCACTTGCCCTTTGTGAGGTGTTGCATGAGGCCAGCATGAACAATGTGCCCAGTGAACATCACATTTTTGACCTGGTTGAATGTGACTGAGGTATGCCACAATGCTGAAATAGGCATTCAGATATGGTCATCATCCCTCTTGTCCCTTTATCATTTAGCTGGTATTGCTGGCCCTAGCTTTGCTGGCATCTTCCATGAGGGCATCATAAGGTCATGCTGCCATTCCATCCTCATTTGGCATGCAACAATCCAGGTCGTCTGACAGCTGCCAGTTCCCATGCCTGATGCAATCATGAAAATGCATGTATTTCTAACCCTTGTTCAATCAGACAATGTTATAATCTGATGAACCATTTTTACCACACTTAATTGTCTGGTTCCAGGCATTTTTGGTCCACTTTAATGGTACATCCCTGCATGATCTTCCCACATCCTGGAATGGCTGGAACATTTGTTTAACATACACAGCATAATCAAATTGTTTATTTGTTGCCTCTTGGATACAGTGGTTAGCTGGTGCCTAGCAAGGACACTGATCATAACACAGGTTGGGGAAGTAATATGTGCAACTTTGATGTGGGGAAATGATCATGGTGGAAATGGTGAATGGTGGTCAGTGGTGATGGCACGATATATCACCATGATCTGGCAAATGGTTCTCAATATAATTTTCTTAGAAGTAGGCATGGTAGTCTCAGAATCATCTGGCCAACACTTGTTTGATGCTGGCATCAATCATGTAGTGGATGACATACTTAGGCAATCTGAAGGGTTTCAAAGTTAAAAGTCCCTGACTGCAGGGACCAATCAACCAGTCAATCAACTCCATATCTCCCAATGACATTTCACCACATATTCAGAGCATCTCTGGTAACTTTCCTTATTGCTTATCTATAAGTGTAAGCTTGCCTACAAAGCAATTTGTCGATTGTTGCCTTCCCCTAGTTGCTGCATTCACAGATGTCCTCAGTGATTAAATGTTATGTAATATTTCTTATCTAAATCAAAACCCATTCAAATTCTACTACAGCTGTTGTGCAACCTGGTTTGCATGTATTCAGCACGGCCTAAGTCTGTTTTTATTACTAAATAATACAAGCTCATGTTGAAAGTATATTTTACAGCTTGTGGTGAGCTGTCCTGCTCCTTCATGTGTAAGGGCAGCCTGACCTGGCCCAGGCTGTCAAAAAAAGAAGGGGTACATATTGCAAAACAGTCCATTTTCTTAAATACAATATCTTCTGAGCATGACATTCCTTACTCTTGAGAGCTGAAAGGTTGAGCACATCACTCAGCAAGTCCTTAAATTTTGATCTAGAAGCAAAAGTGGCTGCTTCTCTCAAGTGTTGTAGGCAAGGCTATCTAACATTGCATCATCTAGGTTGTAGGTACCCTTTTTCCCAGTCTAGGGACACCAGCACATTGCCAAGTAGCTCATAATTTATGTGGGTTAGTCACCACAGACCACAAATCTTTGGTGCTGAGTACTAGGCCAGAATATACCAGATGGAATGGGGGGGGGGGGGGGGAGCATTTGGGTGCCTCAACTGCAAAGTCATATGGACAAAGCATACCAATGTTGCAGTTGCAAATCATGTGGTTGCTGATGATGCCTTAGATAATGTGGTTGAAGATGCAGTTGGCTGAGACAACACCCAAAATATTGAGAATTTCTCCTTTTCATTATCTAGTAGGCATAGATATGTGTTAGAATAGCAAACATTCACACAGTATTAATAAACAAGTGTGAGAGGGGATTAGATGCAGCACAGAGTTTATTATACCTGGTTGATTCATTGGATGCCAAGGTCTCCCATGGGCTTTAATAACTATTAAGGAAAAGTACAAGTAACATCTGTTTTCTTTAAGGCAGATGCTCCATTTCTATGGAAGATTTTTTCTCTACAGGGATAGTCATTCTTTTTCACAGAACATCTTTCTTGGCTCTTAAATGCTGCCTTAAAGATCACTAGGCATGTCACAGTACATGAAACCTACCAATATACTTATGTGGTCCTGATAAAAGTAAACTAGAGTCCAGATGGTAAAAAAATGCACCTTAGGCTGTATATGCTTGGTATGCCATACCATATCAGGTATGGTGGCAGGATCACAGCAGCGATTTTAACTCATGCATCCCATAAATCTGGGCACTCAGAGTTCAGAGCATGGCCAATGCTGATTTTGGCACATGATGAGCCCATGTGACAAAGAGTTAACACGTTGGAAAGGCAATTTTATGCAAATAAACTTCAAAAATATTTTTGATGCTAAAATTAAGGAATGCAGGGCAAGTTGGAGTGGTGTGAGTCCAACACATGCAAGCATGGGCTTCAGCACGCAGTTAAATAGGCATTTAGGTCAATGGATGAGACCATATTTGATGTGCCGGGATTAAAGTTTGTATACACACAATGGCCAACTAAATTCCATATGAAAGAAGGTAGGCTGAGGTTAAAGCAGTACGGTCCTTGCACTTAGGGAAATAACGCCAATCACTACTATAAGATCAGCAAATCCGCACCTTTTCTCACCGCGAACAGCCTCTCTCACACAATATCTCGACGCCAGAGCGCGGACGGCGGCTCGCACCCAACTCACAGCCAACCTCGCAACAATTTGGTTAAATTTGCTCGGTTTGGTACATATTTTGATCAACACTGTTCGTCCAAGGATATGTCGAATGCCTAAAACTGCCGACCGTGCAGCTCGTGAACCGTTGTAAATATGTAATGTGGTACAGCATTTTTTTATATTTTAGTAATATATCATTTTAATTTGTTGTTTTGTAGTTAAAGCCCTTGTAAAATTCTTTGAACTATATTTATATGCATAAGATTGGTATATTACGTCACCATAAGGATTCCATTGCTCCTAAGTCATGAGATATCGGCTATGCATGCACGGGTAACCTAGCAGCACTAATACCAACTAATGCTTTATCCTATGACCGGTAGATGAGGTCCTTTAAAACAGAATCGTGAAAAGGCAAGGCAAAAACATGCAAAAGTGTGATCATCAATTACGTGATATACGCATATAGGTGACTTTTAATTTTCTCTCGCAATGTTAAGAGTTGAAGATGGATAATAGCTACTAATTGCAAGTTTCAAAACCGATTTGTATGAGTCCCTTCCAGTTTTACCAACTCTAATAACAATACGTCAATCTAGCGCTATAGCTACAAACACTGCGCATCGCTGGTGCTATCACAGGGTGCTAACATTTAACACCGAGTTTTCTAGAAACTAACACCGTTTACTGCACCTCCTTGCTACACCACTATCCTGCACGAAAATTCCTGACCAGTGCGACACATTCCTTCTATCCTCTGTCGCGCTTAGTTACCACCTGTGCTACCAAACTTGTAAGACAACACTTCAACGATGGACGCCTGAGCCCAAGAGGCTATGCGCCCTTAACCAACAACAACAACAACACAGGGTGCTATATGCTATGCGCCCTGAACCTACAACAACAAGGGGTGCTATCGCCCTAAACCAACAACAACAAGGGGTGCTATCGTCGCTGCCGTGCTACCCTGCGCTAAAACAATCGCGTTTGCGGCCGGTGTGCAAACTATTCCGAAGACAGGTGAGTGTATTTGAGATCCGATCATCGATCTGCACGCGACATTCAAATAGATCGTTTTGTCCAGAAGACATGCCCTGACTATTGCTGGCCTATAGGCCTACCCAATAAATAGCTGCATGATGACCATTGTCTGCGTAGGTAACCTTTGTGCGAGCCTGCGAAAGATCCATCTACTGATCTTGAGGCATTCAAGAGTTTCATGCATTGAACCTCACACCTGCATGTGTTAAATTCAGGCCAGCCCAAATGATGCTGAGTTTTGTGGATATTTTGGTGTGAAAAATGTCATGGCTGGCAGAAGTGGGTGACCCCTAGATGGGGCTGCATAAGGAATGAGTAAAATTGACAGATGTTAGCCAGTGAACTTGGGCATAAGTATTTGGAATGCAGATTGGGATCATATCTTTCCCATGCATTCCATGATGCAGTGAGTGAGGCCTTAGCTACATGATAGTTGTTGTTATCATGGAGTGGCAAACTCATCTGGGACTATTTTTCACTTCTGATGTGATAATCTGGCACCATGCTCATACAGCACAGTTTAGCTGTGCACAACCCAGGCTGAGATGGCTCCTCACCACAGGTGTGTGGGCTCACATTAGGGGGGGGGTGGGGCTATAGAGCTCTCGAGCCCATCTACATATGTGAAAAGGTAGCCCAAGACTTATGCATTACATGGAACAATGTGAATAAATTCCAAATCCTGGTCAGCTGAGCAATCTTTAGAGCTAAATGAAAATTAGGTTATGAGCAAATTAAAACAAATTAGAGAGTTGGATACATTCTTATGCAGTTAAGCCCAAGTCTGTATACCTGGTCAAGCCACAAAGTTTTGAGATTGACAACCCACAGTGGAGTCTCTCACATTTATTTTTTTACTTAGTATGTTAGTGTAAAGTTTTCTGGCCTGTTGTTTCTGGGGGTGCTGTTTGGATCTAATTCCTGAGGTTGTTTGATGTTGTGGCTATTTGGGTTCATCCTACAATATGTTGGTAGACCAGGGCCCCAACCATGGTCCTTTTTGTTGTAAGCTTACAAGTGTCAAATCAAAATGACCTACATATATGACCAATAAGTCTAAATAGCTGTCCCATGCTACAAACTGATAACTTGCTCAAGCTATGCTATTGCCTTGGGTTATGTGACATAAAATGGCAGAAATGTGTTATGGAGAACCTACCCTTGACCTGACATGGTCATCTCACCCAGTGTCTATGAATGATTTTATATGTTTCTGAGGCAAAAAAATATGATATTTACTTTCATTTCAGAAGCAGGGCTCCACGACCATTACTGGGCGCATGAGAGGTCCCAAAGTCTGTATAGAGATTTTGAGAGAAACAATCATTCATGTGAAATAGGGTGTCAGCAGCATATAACTGTCAAGGTCATATGCTGTAAGTTGCTATGGCTAGAGCCATCAACTACCAGCAAAATATTTTCAAGATGTTGGCTAGGTGTTGGTGCAATTAGTGCAAAAAAGCAATTATCAACCCTCTAGTTAGTCATGGTAGACATGTGTCCTAGGCAATACCAGGTTATGATGATTGTCAACATCAAACAACCAACATTATTAGCCACCCAACACAGATGACCCCTGGGATGTATTCTACAGGGGATAAGTCTTTCGTCTTGTTTTTTCAGACAAGCCAATACCAGGATGGAGGGTCTTGAGAAGTACAGGATCAAAGAAGTAAGTCGTGTCACTGTCACAGAGCATGCACAGGGCAACCTGTGATATAAGATGCAACCTTTTCATCAGTGCAAGTCACGGAGGTTTGTCGTATCATAATTAGAATTCATCAGTTTTCATTGTTGTCACATTCGCAACTTATATCAGACTGAAAGGAATCTTTGACCATACTCCTACGAAAATACAGTGACTACGCATCGTCTCCTTCTTGTGGAGCACACTTAAAGCGAGGGCATTTATGGTAGTTGACGGTTGAAAAATCTGCGATTTATTGACTTACACTTTGTGTTTACGGACATTGTCATGTGATGCTGTTCCACAAGGCCCTGCCGCCGCCAGCGAGTCCGCCCGGCAGTGCTGCAGCGCCGCCGCCCGACGCATGCGATGTGTCCCCAGGCGCCCGACGTGGTGCACTACGTGCCCGAGTTCGTGTCGCCGGCCGAGGAGAGCCGCCTGCTGGAGCACGTGTACGCGGCGCCGCGGCCGCGCTGGACCCAGCTGGCGCACCGGCGCCTCCAGAACTGGGGCGGCCTGCCGCACCCTCGCGGCATGCTGCCAGAGCCCATCCCCCAGGTGGGCGCCGCGTCTTGGAGCGGTGCCCCCTCCTTCCCCCGGTGGCGGCCGCTCACTGCCGGTGTTCACCACCAGCTGTCGTCTCACCACCTCAGCTCTGTTTTGATGCAACAACTGAGAACCGTGAAATGATCGCTTCATGATAAGACATTTGTGGGCGTGCCTATTGGAATTGTGTCATTTTTCCGTTCGGCACAGTTTTCGGGAAGTGGGTAGTGAGTTGTGCGGTACGTCCTGGGCCCAAAATAGTTCGTTGTCAAATATGCTCAGTACAGATGTTGTTTACCTGACGCCACATGGCAACTTTACGGTGGCGTAGCCGTTTCCCCCCCTCCTACCACCGCCTCCCTCCCCCCCCCCCCCCTCGTGAGGGTAAGGCCGGGCCATGCCGTCGGCAGTGGCTGCGGCTAACCATGGAGCGGATCGGCGCTCTGGGCTGCTTCGGCGAGCACCGTCCGAACCACGTGCTGGTGAACGAGTACACGGCCGGCCAGGGCATCATGCCGCACACGGACGGCCCGCTCTTCACGCCCGTCATCACCACCGTATCGCTCGGCTCGCACGCGCTGCTCGACTTGTACCGGCCGCGTCGTGACGCACAGGTACGCTGCCCGACCTGTACCGGCCGCGGCGCGACGCACAGGTATGCTGCTCGACCTGTACCGGCCGCGGCGTGACGCACAGGTACGCTGCTCGACCTGTACCGGCCGCGGCGCGACGCACAGGTATGCTGCTCGACCTGTACCGGCCGCGGCACGACATACAAGTACGCCGCTCGACCTGTACCGGCCGCGGCGCGACGCACAGGTACGCCGCTCGACCTGTACCGGCCGTGGCGCTACGCACAGGACGCCGCGCTCCCAGCCCCGGCCAGGCGAGCGTCGCTCCCGCCGCGGCAGGGCATGTTGTCGCTCCTGGCCACACTTTCACGCGGTCGGCCAGATACGTGCTAAATTTGAAGCGTGTTATGTATTTGCACCATTACGTGTTTGCACTATTTGCACAGGTGCGCTAGGTGCGCTATTCGCATAGTCAATCTCCAATCAATTTAAGTCTTATACATGAAGTGTCACGGGGGTGCCACCTTTTGAAGCCATCACTGAAATATCGCACGTGATTTGAAATCACTGCGGCAGCAAAGGCCAGGTTTGGCACAGGATGCATGGAACTTATCGCGTACGACAGAACACCGGCTGATTCGCAAACTTACGTCAGTGCAAGATAGACGCACATAATTTCAAACGATGTTTTTGTCCCGAGCTGCACCAGTGGCCCTGTTGTAGTAGCGGCCAACAGGGCTGGAACGGCAGGACGGTGGGTCCGGTGCAGTGCAATAGGGCTGGAACAGCAGGGCGCTTGGCCCGGGCGCAGCGGCAGCAGGTGGCGGGCTGGAACAGCAGGGTGGTGGGTCCGGGTGCAGCAGCAGTAAGTAGCGGGCTGGAGCGGCAGGACGGTGGGCCGGCGGTGGCCGGTCGGCGGTCGGCGGTGGCCGGCGCGGTCGGCGGTGGCCGGCCGTTGCGCTCGGCCGGCGGCCGGCGCCGCTCCGCGCCCCAGTGGCCGCCGATGACGCGGGGTGGGTGGCGTCACCGGCGCGTCACACGCCGCCCAGTGAATGCGACAGCCAAATCAGCGGGTAAGGACCCGCTGGGCCGGTCGGCCGGTACCGTGACCACGACGGGCGGTGGCAGGCGACGCTCTGAAACAAGACGTAACATGAAGCGCTCTATTGGCTTGGCTCTCGGGGGTTCACGGTGCTGGCAAAGCCGACGAGGCCAGACCATCATTATGTGTAGCTATGTCAACAGCAATAACGTTTTAAACTGGAGGTTTGCAAGGGGAATCGGCAGGCCTTCATTTACCAGTTGCGAGGTTATAAGCCGTGATTCGGGAAATGCGCCAATTGTTCACACGCACGTAACGTTTGGTACGGGAAGCAGGACCGCGGCCAGATTTCAACTCGTTCCGTATCCACGTACTGAGACAGACAGCATCAAAAGCGAGAGTTCGTTGGTGTACTGAACTGGTAGGCTAACTCACTTACGGACTCCAGTAACAAAAAAATGACAAACCACAAACATAAATCACATCGTTGATTTACGTTGGTCATCCAAGCCTAATGACTTGGGCGGCCCGTTGCTGGGTGTAACGTCGCCACGCCGCGGCCACTTACGTCACAGACCGCCGCGGCCGAGCCTCCACGCTGTCGCGCTGCCGGTCCGGCCACGAGCGCGGCCGCCCGGCCCGGCCAGACCACGGACCTGGCCTGCCTCACAGGCTTGTGCTGTGGCTGCCGGCTGGTGGACGTAGAGCGGAAGAGTGCTGTGCGCGCGCAGGCGGGTCACAAGTTGAGTCACAGTTAATCCTGTGCGTCCGACCTTTTTAATTGCCGGCCGAACTTGATGCCATTGTTATATCCGCAAAGCGGCCGCCCAAAATGACGGTGACTCGATCATGACATTTGAATATTGTCGACGATTCCGAACTGCGCGTTTGGAGGTGGCCTAATACTGCTATAATCTTGATGTTATTTTCGTTCGCCTGTTATTGTGTTCGCTGGAGAGTTAACGTTGGCATAAATCAGGCGTTTTTTTTAATTTAGGGGCTAGTTATGTGGGCTTTTCCAATTTGGGGAGAAACGCGTTTATTTTGCCGCACGACGTCCGCAGATCGTTCGCTGTTTGAGAACCCCTGCATTATTTGCGTCGGAACATCGTTCTATCCCACTCGCTCGATCCTGGATTCTTCCAGTCTGTGTATTTTGGACTTCAGTCTGTGGGTTCGTGGGGGGACCTCAATGAAAAATATTTCGAATAGATCTTCCGCCTTGTAGAACTTACAGAAGCTAAACCTGTTCATGCATCTGCATACGTCACATCGTATACTTTTCCAAAGTGACGTCAGCACGAGTGCGGGCGCACGACCCGATACGTTGTTGCGCTGCCGCTCCCGGGCACTTTGTGATGCTGTGGTCCGACGGAGCAGACGGATCGGAGGCTGATGACCAACGCCACGACACGGGACATGTGGATACTTCATCCATCTGAGACGTCTCATTGTCCCTTTGACGCTGCACGGTACCGTTGACTTAACACCAGCACTGTGCCTGCTCCGTCTCATTCGGCGTGTTCCTTTCCCCCTGACTGCTTGGGGGGGGGGGGGGGGCTGGATGGGCACCAAAGTGGCGTTGACAGCAGCCGACCACGACATGCGCGCACGTGTCCCGGGCATCTGACGAAGCGACCGCTGGTAAGTGAATGCGGCATTCACTGTTGGCGACCTTCACTACTGTTGGCGACCTTCTACCAGCTATCGTCAGCCTGTTTGCAATCCCGTGTTGCAGGAGTCTTCACAAGAGGGCGGTCTTCAGGAGGATTCGCCCCAAAAGGCCGGCCTGCAGGAGGAGGAGGAGGAGGAGTGTGAGGACGGCCGGCCGGTTCTGCTCGGCTCGCTGCTGCTGGAGCCGCGCAGTCTCCTGGTGGTGCGACAGGACGCCTACCACAGTGTGCTGCACGGCATCGAGCCCGTTCGCGAGGACACCATCACCCCGACCGTGTACAACGCGGCCGGCCGGCCGACTGGCCAGCGGCTGGTGCGCTCCACGCGGGTCTCCCTCACCATCCGGCACGTGCCCAAGGTGCTGAAGGTCCGGCTGAGACTGTGACGACAGCAGGTCACCGGCGCCCGACGCCGGGCACCTGGTGACGTCCCGTGTACCAGACTTCAAGGTCCGGCTGAGACTGTGACGACAGCAGGTCACCGGCGCCCGACGCCGGGCAGCTGGTGACGTCCCGTGTACCAGACTTCAAGGTCCGGCTGAGACTGTGACGACAGCAGGTCACTGGCGTCCGACGCCGGGCAGCTGATGAAGTCCCCTGTACCAGACTACAAGGCCTGCCTGCGGCTGTGACTCGGCGGGTTCCGCACCGCATCTGTTGCGTTGTGAAGTCGCTCCGTCGGCGGACAGGTGGAGAAGACAGAATGGGAGGTGGCCCGAGACATGTCCCTACCTGGCGCGTGCCGATTTGTTCATAGTCACGCGCTGTCCTGAACTCATGGTATTTGAGTTAACCGTGAGTATTGTATTAGCTCTGTTGGTTGTTGCGTGCCGTATATGACATGCGGATGTATTTTTTAGACAATGCGCACCATTCCTGGATTCCATGTGTAATGCGCGCCCCGGCTTGTGGCTGGCTGGTTTCGGATTTGCATTGAATTGTGTCCGTTGCATTTGCAATAAATGGCGAACGATATTGTGGATTAGCTGCAGAGGACAGCTGAGCACCGCGCACCGAACCCTTCCCAGCCGAACTGAAGTGTGCCGCGCGGGCCGTAACGGCTGCAGAGGGCAGCTGAGCACCGCGCACCGAGTCCCTCCCAGCCGAACTAAAGCATGCCGTGCGGGCCGTAACAGCTGAAGAAGGCAGCTGAGCACCGCGCACCGAGCCTCTCCCAGCCGAGCTGAAGTGAGCCGTGCGGGCCGTAACAGCTGCAGGGGGCAGCTGAGCACCGCGCACCGAATCCTTCCCAGCCGAGCTGAAGTGAGCCGTGCGGGCCGTAACAGCTGCAGAGGGCAGCTGAGCACCGCGCACCGAGCCCCTCCCAGCCGAACTGAAGCGTGCCGCGCGGGCCGTAACAGCTGAAGAAGGCAGCTGAGCACCGCGCACCGAGCCTCTCCCAGCCGAACTGAAGCGTGCCGCGCGGGCCGTAACAGCTGCAGAGGGCAGCTGAGCACCGCGCACCGAGCCTCTCCCAGCCGAACTGAAGCGTGCCGTGCGGGCCGTAACAGCTGCAGGGGGCAGCTGAGCACCGCGCACCGAACCCTTCCCAGCCGAGCTGAAGCGTGCCGTGCGGGCCGTAACAGCTGCAGAGGGCAGCTGAGCACCGCGCACCGAATCCTTCCCAGCCGAGCTGAAGTGAGCCGTGCGGGCCGTAACAGCTGCAGAGGGCAGCTGAGTGCCGCGCACCGAACCCTTCCCAGCCGAGCTGAAGCGTGCCGTGCGGGCCGTAAGCGCTTCGCCAGACTGATACCATTGTGGACTGCTAATGCTTTGTATACACTTGCAGATATAGCAATGCTCTGGCCGTTAACAAGGTACAAACGCGGGATTCAAGGTCTATGCAAAGTCTCCTCCGGTGTGGCAAATTAATAGTGTATGGCTGTAATTTTTGCAAGTCTTGGGTGAAGCCATTGCAGTTGAGTTGCGATGCAGAGGTATTGCTTACTTTATCTTACGGGTTACAAAAGAAGACACGTTCTCTTTGTGGAGTTTATGAAATTGCCGCCGGAGGAACACGAGTCCAGCCTGATCCCCGTAATTCTAAACGCCTCCATCGGTGTGCGCAACTTACGTGTTGCGCATTGTTCTTCGTGACGTGGTCCTCATAGCGGTTTAGGGCCATCAGTTTTGTAATGGTGTTTCCTCCGGCCAGGTGTACCTTTCTTTCCCCGCACGAAACGAAGTCATACACCGACGTGAAGCTGTATTGAAAAGACCATGGACATGGCGGACATACTATTTGTTGCAACTCTCACATTGACGGCTAACGGTGCGCCTTGACTACGTCTGCCACTCCCTCGAAGATCGTGCAGCCTCTTCCTATCAACTGCACACATGGCAATTCGACGGAGAGATGGTGACAAGTGACTTCACGGTTATTGGTGTAACGGGATCTGCTGATCTCTATAACAACATGTGATGGACACACAGAGAGAAAGAGGGAGAGAGAGAGAGAGAGAGAGAGAGAGAGAGAGAGAGAGAGAGAGAGGGCGGCAGTACGGCTGGCCGAGGGTGGTGGCGGTGGACGCCGCTGTGGCCGGCGGCTGGGACGCCCTGGCCGATCAGGTCCCCCCTGCCCCGCCCCCACCGGAGGCGACGGTTCGGCGTGGGCGTCCCAGGCCCGTCAGCCTCGGCAGACGAGGGGTGGACCGCGGCAGCTCTGCGTTAGCGTCGCCTCGGTGTGGTGACCGGCCGCCGCGGCACCGACCCGACGCCCCGCGCCACCAACCCCTCACGCGGCCAGCCGCCAGCGGCGTGCAATAAATTAAAGAAATACAATAGTGTATACGACGACGCGGCGCTGCTACCGACTACCGGTCGCGTCCGCCGCGCGCGCGATGCGATGGCACTGGGGCGGGCGAGCGCGCGAGCGCGGCCGCCTAGAAGCCCGGCGTGCCGTACAGGCCGGACGGCTGGCCGGCCGCCGGGAATGCACCGGCGCCGCCGGCGGCGGCCTGGGAGCCGAAGCTGGACGCCTGCGAGCTGGTGACGCCGCTGTTGCCGCCGGCGAAGCTGGACACCTGGTTGAAGCCCTGCTGCTGGACGCCGGCGCCCTGCTGGCGCCCTCCGCCCGCGGACGGCGCTCCGTAGCCGCCGCTCACGCTGCCGCCGCCCCTACCGCCGCTCGCGCTGCCGCCGCCCCTGCCGCCGCCCCGGCCGCCGCCGCCGCCGCTCGTGGGCGCTCCGTAGCCGCTGTTCACGCTGCCACCGCTGCCGCCGTTTCCGAAGCCGTTGCCTCCGCTGCCGCCAGCACCGGACGGCGCGCCGTAACCATTGTTGACGCCCCCGCCGTTGCTGCCGCCGCCGCTGCCGCTTCCGCTGCCCGAGGCGTCTGTCTTGCCGATCTCTTCGTTGAGCTGGAAGAAAGACTCGGAGGCGGCGCAGTCGACGTTGTACCACCAGTCGCAGACGAAGTACTTCTGGTTGAAGAGTGTGCCGTTCGGGCACAGGAACGAGTCCATGCGGTTGTCGTAGCAGATGTGGAAGACCTGGACGGTGGAATGCCATGACTCATTAGCAAATGCGGACATATGTTTATATTTGATAATCAATATTGGTGAAAATTTTATCTTTCAATGATGTATATTAATGCCAGGCCAGATAACTAGTGCGGATATGTTGGCCCCGGTTATCGGGGCTTCTTAAATTAGTACTGCTTTTGGAGAAAGACATCTGTATGTCATATCCAAGAGATAAGGTCGAGAAATGCCCGCTGGATCTGGGTCCGATCCTCACAGAGAGATAAATGTCTGGCCTGACGGTCCGCTGACGCAGGGCGGCCGTATCACAGGCAAGCAAGGCTAGAAACACATTCCTCCGTGATCCCGCCCCGCACAGCAGAGTCCCATCTCCCAGCGGCGTGTCAGCGGCCGTCTCCCAGGGCAGCTGCCTCACCTGGCACAGAGCCGGGTCGTTGATGTCGGCGTAGTAGCCGCCGGTCGAATAGTCCTCGCAAGAGAAGGATGTCTCTGGCACGACGGCCAGGGTCGGGTAGTCCACTCCCGGCTCCCCGCCGCCCGGGATCGTATCCTTCAGGCTATGCTGGCCGCCGCCGCCCTGACCTCCGCCGCCCTGACCGCCGCCGCCGTTACCTCCGCCGTTGCCTCCGCCGTTTCCGCCGTAACCACCTCGGCCGCCGCCGCCGTTGCCTCCGAAACTGCCCCGGCCGCCGCCGCCGGTGCCTCCAAACCCGCCGTTGCCCCCGCCGCCGTTTCCTCCATATCCCCCGCTGCCGCCGTTGCCTCCGCCGCTGTTGCCTCCATATCCGCCGCTGCCGCCGCTGCCTCCGCCGTTGTTGCCTCCGAAGCCGCCGTTGTTTCCGCCGCCGTTTCCTCCGTAACCGCCGTTGCCTGCGCCGCCGCTGCCTCCGTATCCGCCCTGTCCGGCGCCTCCGCCGCCGCCGGTGGTGCCCGTCTGCGGTGCACCGTAGCCGGCCTGGGGCTGCAGCTGGGGGCTGAGGGCCGCGCCCGACTGGGGCGCGCCGTAACTGTAGCCGGCGGTCTGGCGGCCGCGGCGCGCACCGCCCCGCCGCCGGCCTGCGCCCGAGTCGGCCGCGGCCAGCGCCACTGCAACGGTCAGGTTATGTGTGAGCGTCGCTGGTTTACTCTGCCCCTGGTGGGGGCGCTACGGGGCGAGTTACCCGCTTCCTTTATATCATGCTTTAACCACAACCACAGAGGGCTGGAAGCGTCGAGGACGAAATAAGCATGAAATGTGAACGAAGTAACTGGAGACATAAATGTGTTCACCATGTTTATGACATTGTGAATTGTTTGAAACATTTTGCACGGCGAGTCTCGGAGGGCACAGCTGGCGGCTCAATGGGGTGTAAACGACATGTCAGATAACAGTGACCGAAACTCGAAAGTACGTACATAAATTACGGGCAAGACACGACAAAGCTGGACACAGCCTCTGTTTTAACCCCACTGCGCGACGCACTACGATGCTGTTGGCTACTGTCCATCCGTCTATCGTGAACTCAGTCAGACTTTTGTGCTCAATGCAGTGAAGAGCACAGGCAAAAGGCGGACGTATTCGGGTACATCGCGGCGGCCGGGCTGACGGTCAGTCGCCGAGCCGCGCGCTGACATCTCCACAGGCCGGGCCAAGCCGCGCTCCGTGAGTCGAGGCCCCAGGGACGACACTGCATCACTGCAGTCATATGGCGCCTCTTCTGAACCCGCACCAGGCAGTGTCGTCAGGTGTGTTGGGGCTCCAGGGACGACACTGCATCACTGCGGTCGCATGGCGCCTCTCCTGAACCCGCACCAGGCTGTGGCGTCAGGTGTGTTGGGGCTCTAGGGACAGCACTGCACTACTGCGGTCACATGGCGCCTCTCCTAAGCCAGGCAGTGGCGTCAGGTGCGTCGAGGCTCTAGGGACAGCACTGCATCGCTGCGGTCACATGGCGCCTCTCCTGAGCCCGCACCAGGCAGTGGCGTCAGGTGTGTCGAGGCTCCAGGGACGATACTGCATCACTGCGGTCACATGGCGCCTCTCCTGAGCCCACACCAGGCAGTAGCGTCAGGCGTCGTGTCGGTCGGTGGTCATGGTATCTCGGCCTTGGTCAATTGTTTCACTGGACTTCGAGACTCCGCCACCATCCAGGTTGAGCCGGCAGCACAATACCGCTCTGGCCAGCGTCGGTCTCCGCCAATGGGAGCGGCGGGGGCGCTGCTGGGCTGGGATGCCCTCACCGACTCACATTCATCCACTGGGGGGGGGGGGGGGGGGGGGGTTGGCGGCCCGGCTGCCGCTGCTGACGTAATTGTCACGGGAGCGGCCAGCCGGAGAGGGATGTGTGAGCGTCGCAGCCCGCGAACAGCCAGCCAGAAAGTGAGGGATCTCATCCATATAAGCTATTGCGCGTAATTAAAACGTCCCCCTTCTCTTCCCATTTGCAGTGCACCAGGTGTAGCACCGACCCCGTTACGCAATTGTGCAACGTCCGTGTTCATAGCACTGAAGCAACTTCGAGAACATTGTTTACACCTGGCCGATAGCACGGCGTTTTTTTACGATACCGATCGTGCTATACGTGGCGCGTAACAGCCGTGGTCGCATTAGACACGGCCGTCGGATTTACATCATGATTGCGGTCGGCTCATCCAGCGCCATCCGCTGCCACACACCGGCGGTCCACAGCGCGCGGCCACTGGCCCGCGGCGAGACTTCGGCCGTTCGTAACGCGGCAAAGAGAGCCGAGGTTGCCGCATTGCTCGTAAATCTAAACAGTCGCCACCGCCAGTTCACGCAATGTGACTTACGGCGCGCTGGTGCGCCGGGCAGCACACCGCAGGCCGATATCCAGCCACGTGACTGCGAGCGGCAACTGCTAATGAGATACACAGCGCTGTTTGTTGTGCGGCCAGTGCCGAAGAGTGTCCCTCAAGGTCTCGGGGGTGGCGGGCGGCGCGTGGACGATCCTGGTCCCCCGGCGCTGTCCGTGACGGAGCCGCCCGACCGGAGCGGTGCCGTGCGGCGGGCGGCGCGCCCGGCCCGGTGGCGTCACCAGCTCTGTCCGGATCGCCCGGCCCGGAGCCCAGATGGAGCGGATCCGGCGATACGGGGCACGCACGCCGACACGGCCGGGTCGCCGGGGCCAGCGGCGACCTGACCCGGCGATGACCCCGCGGCGCGGCGCGCACGAGCCGGCCCCACACAAAGCCGCGCTCGGCCGGCCGTGGCGGCGGGGGGCGACGGGACGCGTGGCATGTGAGAGCACCGACCGCCCCGATCGCTCACAGACCGACGCCAGGCTCGGCGATCGGGCACAGGCTGACTTATTGGCCTGCGGTTTGGCGTTATCCATCGGAATGACCTAAAGTGCAGACATTAAAGTTGGTTCATAGGCTGGATCGTCAAGTTTCTCTTCCCCAAAATAGCAAAACACCATAGCCTACTAAAAGGCTTGATAAGAAACCAATTTCCGATCACTAAGCCAAAGGAACAGATGGCGAGAGCATGCTTCATAATCACAAACGCATAGGCACAAGTGACGCGGCGTTCATCGGTTTTGCAACTAGACAGCCAAAATGTGCAGCAGCAGAAGCAGCATTTGTTTGCAACAGAAGCACAATACAACACAGTTTGTTTGGTTGCTACAAACATGTTATTTGGGGCCAAAGGGAATGTTGGATGTCATAACGAGAGGCCAAAATAGGAGAAATAATACGATTTCATTAAATGGAGTCATTTAAATTAATTCAATTTTAAATACCATGTGCGTGAGTTCGTCATGTGCGCAGTTATTCCTCATTCTGTAAAGAGTTTGGTACGAAATAAATTGTGTCTCAGATACCATAAGATATATTTTCTTTACTTTCTATTGAAAGGATTTGAATTGATTGTTCATGCGCAACACAGCGCAACTTTATCAGCGTTACTTCAATTTAGTCCGTCAGCGCGAATCATGTAAAAACTGCTCGCATGTCATATGTTATGCCGAACCAGCTTGATTTGGTGGCAAGATGAGCGCAGACCTAAGTAGCAAAATAACATTTATGCTTTCGGTGTAGTCATTTCCTCTTTTGGAAGTAAGTGATTAGCAAAGGCCCAGGGCAAAATAGCCTGCAATAAAAAAGAAAAATACTGCATACGAACACCACACTGAACGATGAGAAAAGGAGAAATTTACCAACTCCTTACGGCTGGGAACCATTCACGAAAGACGCAGCGTGAGGGCAAATGTCAGTGACGTGATGCAAATGTCTTGGTCAAATGAGCAGACTCCAATGTCACAGCGCCAAGTTATTGATATCGAGGCCAAAGCTTTCTCACGGATCGAAGCAAATCCTCACCCCCGACGGACCTGCATTCTTCAGGTTGTCAATCACGGGCATCGAAAGGGAACTCTATCCGTTCATTTGGGCGCATCGCTTGCTTCACACGGACGCGATACCCGCCGTACACAATGCACAATTTCGCTTCAAATCGATACGTCCTCCGATGGCGTTCGCTTTTCCAGCATTGTGAGCGCCGGGCACAATGAATCAATTACGCGTGAACAATCCGGCCGCGGGGTGGCCGGGTGACCGGAGGTCAAGGTGAGGGCGGCCAGGGTCGGCCGGCCGGGCGGCCGCTCCCCATCTATCAGCGCGCGGCGCTGGTGATCCGGCTGATTAGGGCCGGCCGGCGCGTGCCGGCCCGGAGCGCGCCGCGAGAGGCTCGTCTCGCCTCGCCTCGGGGTCAGATCGAGCCGCGGCCAGGCGGCTCGGCCCTCGGTCACGTGACCGGCACGCCCAAGCGGCCCGCTCGAACCCCGCCAGCCGGACCATCAGAGCTAAAACGCGTATCCGCCCACTGCGAGAGCGCTTCATAAAGAGCATCATGCGGCGGGGTTCCCCGGCAGGTGTGATGTTATTCCGATTGCGATAGGGCGTGGGAACTGCATTTAAGAATTGGACTTCGAGAGGTGGGAGCTGTGTAAGTATCGTGACACCGAAACCTCACAGATAAACAGGTTTTCGAGACGGGTGTATGCACCAGTGAATTGGATCTCGGGCCATCAACCCCCCCTCCCCCCAACTTGAACCTCAGACCCCCCCCCCCAACTTAAGGAAGAAAGTGCGCAAAATCCGGGTAGAAACCTGTTTGTTAGCATATTTTGGGAGTGGGTTGAATCATTGATCACTGTTCAGCCCTCCATTCGTTTTGCGAAACTACGCCCCTGTTTTGACCGATCTCCGGCGTTATACTTTCTTGCAATAATTTTTTCCTGATAATTGCAAGAACATTGTGGCCATCAGAGTGCAGTTTCTAATTCAGTGGTGTAGTGTGTGTGTGTGGAGGGGGGGGGGGAGTCTTTGGTTCTCTCCGGAAACTTTGGGAAGAAAGTGGCCACATTTAGAAAGAAAACTTTCTGGCTATTTTAAAGGCAACTTTAACCAATTCACTCTGTTCAGCATCCAACTTATGCGGATCTACGCCCCTGGTAACCATTGATTGAGATTGGGTGCGGCAGAAACTCTTCGTAACGGGGTTTCCCTTTTCTTATATGCACAAGCTGATTCGATAGCATTAATTTTTGCGCAGACATTCTGAGTAAAATATGGAGGAGCATTTAGGAAGTTCCAAAACGGACGAAGCAAAATGAATTCTAAATAGGTCCACGCAATTATTTTGTTACCAACATCAACCTTTCAACCATCAAAAGATGACTGAAACAGCAAATCACGAGTTGACACCCCCTGGAATATGCATCTGGACGTAGCAATTTTCTAAGTCATTTTACATTTTACGTATCAGGTCTTCAAGGAAGGACTAGCATCGTGACGATGCTTTCCAGCATCGCTTCGCTATTGAGATAAGTTTACGACCACGATGCAGGTATCTATACGGAATAACAGAAAGGAGGCTAAACGCCGTTTTATGCCAAATGCGTTACGTGCACAGGCTATTTTCGTGACGTCAGATTTTCACATTCCCTGCTGAGGTCCTGACCCTGGCCTCGGGAGTCCCCACCCTCGAGCCGATTGGTCGGGAGTTGGCACCACACCATCCCAACTACCAACCCCTGCGGAAGTCGGAGCATTCCAAGCCATTCCGCCCCACGGAGGGAGCGAATCAACCGCAGATCATCACCTGGAGACCCAGTGATTGACTTTGGATTGCGGATCGGCTCGGGGGTCCGCCCAGTGGGGGACGCCACCGCCCGCCGATCCGCTGTGGCAATAATGGAGCATTGTCGTCCGTTCGGCGCCCGTTTAACGCTGCTTAGGCAACCGGGCTCGTCTCGCCGCAGACAATGGTGCGTCTCCATTAGTGCGCGACTCGGCCTCCAACGGGCTGTTGAACCAGCGCACGCCGCACCTAGCACAGCGGTAACAGCGGCCTGTTGAGCCAGCGCGCGCCGCACCGCATAGCGGTAGCAGCGGCGTGTTGAACCAGCGCGTGCCGCACCTAGCATAGCGGTAACAGCGGCGTGTTGAACCAGCGCGTGCCGCACCGAGGATAGCGGTAACAGCGGCCAGACACAGCAGCGACGCACCTGGCACCAGCGGCCAGACAGAGTCACGGTACACCTGACACATAGTGATTGCATTATTCCTCGGAGAAAAAACAGGAGGATGGGAGTATAGTTGGGTTAACCCAACTATATTCCAACCTAATAAGGCTATCACTGCTGCCTTATCTATGTGAATATGTTCCTCGCTAACGCACTGAATAACTTAGGGGAGGAACATGTTTGCACATTAAAGGCATATATAAATGCCGAGCTAAACTACATACACACATACATGCATACAACGCACGGCGTAAGTGATCACAAGATCCTGCTGCACGTGGCGCCTCCAAGCCCGTCCGAAAGGCAGGGAACGGAAGCTGCCTTAGTTGCTGGGAGATCATCAGATAACATATGGTAATCACATACCACAGTGACTTCAAAAGGCTCGTTAAATTGAAAGCGAACTGTTAACATGGACAACAGCAAGGCAGTGTAAACAGAGCCCGCGACCCTCATTAACCTCACCAACTTGCAATCTAGGGTAAATCGAATTTAACCTGAGCACGTCAAGGCTAAAAAGATATGTCCGTAGTTTCAGAATTACGGCCGAAAACTCCCAAGGACGTCGGCCCCTGAACCCTGCTTCTAGATCGTGTCCATTCGTGCCAGTAAAAGCGTTCGACGGCGCCTCGGAATGTTCGGGTCAGCCGATTGGTTGTTTGTGTTGTGCGAGACGAACGCGTGACCAGGGCAGCGGGCTCGTAACCGACCATGACGTCACACGGACCATCCACGTGGGTGGCACGGCAGGAGATGGTCCGAGGCAGCGGCCCGGCCGCCGGTGCCGGTCCTGAGTCACCGCGCGGACGCATGTGACGAGCCCGAGTCACCGCGCGGACGCGTCTGAGCTTGGGCGGATCGGAAATCCCTGTAACCGTCTTCTTCCATGATTCAGGGGCATACAGAGTCGCCTTACAACGTGTTTCAAGTTTCAAAACACGTCACTTTTGAAACATTCCAGCAGCTGAGACACAAAGCTACTAAATTCAGACTAGGCATGCGGCGAAGCAGACTGGCTGCTGCGACATGTCACCATGTTCCAAATGCATGGCGTAATGTGATCCGACCTTGCGTCGGAAAGTCTACAGCTTGGGGTCGAGCAGGCCCATCTCCAGCGGGCCCAAATCGAAGCACCAGCCATGTCGACTTGTTCATCAATCCTGCCGCGCGACATAGACTGTTGTCTGCGCGCCGCACCACTCACCGGCGTCAGGCAGCGGGCGGACGGCAGCCGCCCGACGACTGTCAAACAAAACCGAAAGGATCGCTGTCGGACAATCGACGGCGCTGGATGCCGAGCGTGCCGACTCGGCGGGAGCCGCGGGAGAGCCGGCCGGCGGCGCGGACGGCGCCCATCCTCCCATGACGGCCGTGGTGTAACCGCCGCTAACCGCTTCCGCCGCGGCGCCCGCCCTGTGGCGATGCCGCGGCGGCCGGCACGCGACGCGCCGCCGCCGAGCGTCGTCAGCGGCGGCCGGTCCGGTGCGGCGCGCGCCGGACATCCCCCGCGCGGGCGGCGCCGCAGCGTGGCACGCACGCGGAGAGCGCGCGTAGAAAGCACCGCCGTAACTTAGCTCTGCTGCCACGTGCGTGCAGCTGGACAGGAAATGTAAAGCCGTGATTGTCGTGGGCTAAAGCCTACGCCACGCTGTTATCGTCGCTGTGATTGATGGCGGTGAATGTGTTTATTGATGAACCCCTCTAGTCAAACTTCACACCGTCACTTTTACAATTCCAGGGGCGCGAAGATGGCTGGGAGCGACCGAGCCGTGCCTGATGATCCGTGCTGTGAACACGAATGGGGCAAAGCACATCATTATCGGTTGCACCAGTCACCTGTCCCATGACAGTATTTCTACTTTCCGAGTGGTGAGCCTACTCACCCAGAAGTCCCATCAAGATGATCTTCATTGTCGCGATCTGGAAGCGAGAAATGCATACATCAAGGTCATGTATGCACAACCACAATGCACAAGTCCTATAACAACGGTGCAGCAGCACCCAAATGCATGGGAAACGATATGTTGAATGACAGCGGAATAGCCATGCATGCAACAAAAAAGAAACTGAATTCACTAGTTTTCTTGACTTTCAGCTTCTAGCTGTAGGACCCGGGCAAAAACCAGATTTCTGAGCTGTCATTTACGTACGCGGTGCATTGATTACGTGCACGGATGAAGTGGCGTGCTGTGCGTCAGAACTGACAATGCTAGATGTCACCTATCTGCCAAGAGTGTCGAGGCAGCAGCCAGTGATACATTCTAGGCTAAAATTCAACTGTGTGCGCACGCACTGCTATATGAATAGGCGTGTCCGACTCAGGCTATAAAGTCTGCAATCAAGTATAAAGTTTGTTAAAGTATGTTGGTTAAAGTTTGATAAAAACCGTTAAAGTCTGTTCCAAATAACTCAGATTTTCCACCTGTGATGCCAGTTCTTACAACGCTCTTTCATCAAATGCCTCTTAGTCACTATCAGAAAAAAACACACTGTCCTCAAAAGATTTGTGCCGGTTTACCCGCCTGAGGGCACAGTTAAGTAAAGTTTTTGGCCAAGCCGTTTCCGCGAGATAACCCGTATCTGACAATGCACATTATTCAAAACCTTTTAATCCAGCAAAAGCCCAAAGATCTTGCTGCTTGTGTCGCACGCCAGACAAACACCGACGACGGTCAACCACGCCACAGCCTGGCCGCAAGGCTCGCAGCGAATTCATTGGGCGTTTCAACTAACTGACTTGCCGCCAGCAGATTTGCGAGCGGGTCACACTTGAGTGATTATGTCACGATGAAACATTCGGAACATACAGTTTGTAAGGTGCCCTGTGACTTCAATGTGCTTCACCAGGGCTTGAGATGCTATCCGAAAGTTTGACCCCCGGCGTAAGGTGGCACGGGGCTGTCGACGTTATTTTTATCACTTGATCTGAAATGGGCGAGCATTGCCCATTCGACTGCCCTGGACGTATGTGCCTGTGCGCGTAACTGCCGTAACGACGCGTTAAGTGCTGGGAGTGATGGCCTTTTGTTGGGGTCAGCTGGATCCTGCAATTAGGGTGGTACGAATCGGAGCTGACGATCTGCGGCTTTTTGGGACTCGAATCCAAGGTTGTGTGACTCTAGGTTCGGTTTTGTATTCGAAATTCGAGTGCATTCGAACGCATCTGAATCTTTGCATCGAAATCTCGAACTAATGCTCTGTATCAAAAGGAGAACGGGCTTTTCAGTCCAATGCAGAACTACAGAATTCGCGTTACATTTGGTTGTGTGCACGAGATGCGAGCAGAGATAATGATTCAAACAGCGCAATGCCTATTTTTCCAATGTGTTGTGGTACCCCTCTGCCCCCCCCCCTTTTCACCCCCAACCTTGAGCTTCCGTCGTTCCTGCCATCGGGGCTCGTTCATATGCCAAGCCCAGGGCCAGAGAAGCTTGGTGGTACCTGTCAGCCAGCCAATAGTAAACGTGACGTAGGTTTGATCGGTACCATCAACAAGGTAAGAATATTAAGATGCACTCGAAGCTGTGGCTGCCGGGAAAAAGCCTTTTCTTCAAAAAGGAAAAGTGACCTTGGAGTGACCCGGCCTGGTCTTGTCATTACACTTTTGACAACATTCTCTTTTTTCAGCCAATAGTTGCAGCTCTGTTTTTCAATTTTCGGGAGCAGCGTCCCAATATTCCAAAGCCAGCAAAACAAACAACAAAGCTGCGGAGTAACACCGCAGGGCGGGCTGGGACTGAGTCTAGGTCAGGAGGCCAGAGCTCGGGTCGACACAGAAAAAACAACGCTGCGGAGTGGCCCCACAGGAGGGGGGGGGGGGGGGGGGGTGTGGGACTGAGCCTAGGTCAGGACGATCACGGATCGGAACGACACAGAACCAGCTAGGGAGGGACGGGCATGCTTTTGGCAGAAATGGCCGTCACTGCACACAACAGGTAATGCACACTCGAATGCGAACTCAAGATGCGGTGCTCTCAGGGTCACGTAGGACTAACTTTGCATCTCGACACCCAGGACAGGAAAACCCTGGAGCCGTGGGCGCAAAGTATTGATGAGCGTGCCGCATATAAATTGTGCACGTAGTTCGATGCCATTTTATCTATAGGGACGCTTATAGGCGAACGATGAGCGACTAAAGTTTCCCCAAAACGACCTCAAACACTTCTGTCTCGGGCTCATTTTAAATGTTGCAGCCCCAACGCCCAGCTCTGGTCCGACCAGTCACGCCTTTGACAAGCACATATTTCTGCACCCGCGTGTCACAGCTCTACGCGGTTTGCAACAGCAAAGGGATCCTTAGCAACAAGAGATGCAGCTGTTTAAACAGTTATACGGCATAAATTTAAAAGCACCAGCAGTCTGATCTGGCTGGTCAGCTGAGGAACTGCTTGATTAGTGCGGTGTTCCTGCAGTATTGCAATGTGAACAAAAGACAACCTTCTCCGTTCAGTCGCCTCTGGAGCACACAATTGGTTAATGTTGAAAAAGCTGCGGGCCACGGATCAAAAGCGTGCTAAGCCCTCAACAGACCCCGGTGGCAGTGATACGAAACCAAGACATCTAGCCAGAGGGAAGAGCTGACCAGCGGTGCAGACGGGATCGTGGATCGATGTATGCAGTCAGTCACGCGCACTCGATCACGAGTCATGGAGGCAATGGCGTCGGGGTGTAGGGCGTCATACCTTGCTGGCGAAAATTGTGGGCCTTGCCAGGCCCAAAGCAAATAATTTTTTTGAATATACATTTTACCAAATTTGCATCTGAATCGTATACAAGTGCCTGTTCGTTATTTTGTCACTGCTCGAGGACGATTGGTTCAGTTCGCTTACGTTTTGGCATTATATATTTGGTGATA